ACATATGTTATTTTATGCCCGTAGTCAAGGTAGTTGAATTATGATAACAGCTGTAGGACATATATTATCCTCTAGTTTAGATGGTGTGCTGTGTATGTAGTTTAGTTCTCATTATACTCTTGGGTTAAAAGAACATAATCATTTTGTAGTTCATTAGATAAAGTGTGCATCACTCTGTATCCTTGATTGGCTGTGAATGTCTTACACTGTTTTCTTGACATGCTTTATTGTTGAATCATAAAAAGAAGGTTGTGAGCAGGAGACTGTGTCTAGGGCAGAAGAGATAAACCACATTCCACACCCCCACCTTCCTTAGAGCAGAAAGACAGGGAGCCAAGGTCAGGAGCCAGTCTTGCTAAGAATTAGAAAAACATGTGAAGATGTAGCTTTTATGACTAGGTGGAGGTCGTCAAAAGCTATAAGAGGCTGTGAAACTCGTTGCCATTTCGAGACATGCTGTGAACCCTCTGCAGGCATCTCTCCCGTCCGGACGTTCTAAATGCTCTTAAGTGTTGAATTGTATGAAAATAAATGATTGTTGATTGAGCATTTATACACCGAGTACTGTCCTTCTTTCAGCCCAAAGATTAAAAGAATTGGGAGAATTCAACATGTTTTGTTTTTTCATTTATTTGTATCGTGCTACAGCATTCGTATTTTTGCATTGAATTGGGTTAACCACATCTGTGTGTCACTGGCACAGACACCCTTGTTAAGAAAGCCTGATTACTGGTGCATGATGGTAACTGGAGAAACGCATTCAATGTTTGTCCATAATGTACTTTCATAAGCATCATGCTGCATCTTACACCTTTACTAGTTTCCTGTATTGACTCCTTCCTTACACCTCACTCTCAGTAGTCAGATCATGTTTTTTGGTCCCTTCAGTTGTTTATTATTAATGATCTTCAGGGTGATTCTTAGTAGTGATGGGATTTCTGGCTCTTTTTAGAGAACCGGCTCTTTTTAGAGAACCGGCTCTTTTTAGAGAGCCGGCTCTTTCGGCTCCCAACCACCTCTTCAGGTTGTTTTGTTGCTTTAATTAATTTATTATTAACAATAACATAAAATTATGCACAAAAGGAATTACTAATGTAAAAAAAAAGTGGTTTTATTTATATATGTTTATATATAAATATATGCGGTGGCCCCTAGAGACAAAGCACGCACAAACTCCAAAACACATTCCTAGCATTAACTGAACTAAATTACACAATTGAAAGCACTTGTGTATTGTTTGTGTATTTATACACAAGCACTCATATATGTTCAAATAATAAAAAAATAAAAATGTTCATTTACCTGTTACTACCACACACAAAATCCGGTTGTTGGTACTTCCTGGCTTGTGTAGCCACTAGGTAACAAAAGCTCAACACTGCGTCCTAGCATCCTGGAGCACTTCTGTTGTCTTTTGTACATGTTTTGAAGTTTGTACGTGCTGCTTTGTCACTTCAAAGACCCGGCTCTCAGAGCCGTTTCGTTCGTTTGGGCATTCGTTTATATACAGCTCTCTTGAAGTCCCACCATCCATCCATCCATTTTGCTCCGCTTATTCGGGGCCGGGTCGCAGGGGCAGCAGCCCAAGCGGAGAAGCCTAGACCTCCCTGTCCCCAGCCAACTCCTCCAGCTTATCGGGGGAACTCCAAGGCGTTCCCAGGCCAGCCGAGAGACTCCAGCGTGTCCTGGTGGGACATGCCCAGAAAACTTCGCCCAGGAGGCATCCTTGTCAGATACCCGAACCACCTCAACTGGCTCCTTTCGATGTGGAGAAGCAGCAGTAGCTCTACTCTGAGCCCCTCCAGAATGGCCGAACTTCTCACCCTAACTCTAAGGGAGAGGCCAGCCACCCTTCGGAGGAAGCTCATTTCTGCCGCTTGTATCCGCGATCTTGTTCTTTCGGTCACTACCCACAGCTCGTGGCCATAGGTGAGGGTAGGGACGTAGATCGACCGGTAAATTGAGAACTTCACTTTTACACTCAGCTCCCTCTTCACCACGACGGACCGGTGCAGCGTCCGCATCACTGCGGCTGCAGCACCAATCCGTCTGTCGATCTCCGGCTCCCTTCTCCCATCACTCGCGAACAAGACCCCGAGATACTTGAACTCCTCCACTTGGAGATGAGTTTAAAATCATATGCACAAATTTAGCAAACAAAGTTATTTGCAGCCATTTACCTTTTACCCTTTTTTTAAATAACCATTTCAAACTATTTACAGAACAATCAGCTGTTCTGCATTCAATAAGATGCCACACAAATTATTTTTGCCACTTCAAAAAAATTATTTCTGTCCAGTATAAAGGAGAACATCACAGCCTGATACCTGCAGGTCTGACAGCAGCAGGTGTATCACTCCTGTTTTCTACCTGGAGACAGCAGTCGCCTCATTGTTCTGACACACAACACAAAACTATCCACAACACATTAACTACACAAGACCAACTACACACTACAAACACGCTAAACCTCACAAATCTCTCACACCTCAAAACTCACTCTCTCTTTTTCTGC